GAAAGATATATAATTTTTCTAACTAATGTGATAGATACTCAAGTCTATGAAGTAAGACTGTATGATATTCACATAGTTCAGGAATTTTCATATGTCGTTTCAGATGAATTACATGGGTTACCTCCAGACCGTGAGGTGGAATTCAAGATTGATGTTTATCCGGGTACTGAACCTGTTTCTATGGCTCCATATCATTTTGATTATTTTGATTAATGCTCTTGTAGTATTTATGGATTTGATTATTTGATTAATCGAGTGTTCCAACTTTATTTGAATCAAATTTTGGCGACTCTTTGAGAGAAAAAACAATACGCCAATCTGTGGAAATGTGAATTCTGGTTGACAGAAGTTGTTTTTCTTGGCCATGTTGTTTTGGCAGATGGCATAAGGGTAGACCACAAGAAAATTCATACCATAGTGGATTGGAAACCCTCAAAGAACGTCTCAGAAGTTTGGAATTTCTTGGGGCCTACTGATTACTATTTAAGGTTCGCGAAGAACTTTTCGATGATAACGTTACCGCTAACCAAGCTTTTAAGGAAATATATGCCTTTTGTTTCAAATGAGAAATGCCAAGAGAGTTTTGAAGTACTAAAGAAGGTTTTAACAGAGGCACCAGTGCTTGTACAACCTAAGTCGGGTAAAGATTATGTTATTTTTAGTGATGCATCTCATAACAGCTTGAGATGTGTGCTTATGCAAGAAGGTACAGTTATGGCCTATGCCTCGAGCTAGTTAAAGACTCACGAGAGGAATTCCTTGATGCATGATTTAGAGTTGGCAGCGGTAGTGTTTGCTTTAAAGATTTGGCGTCATTATTTGTATGGTGAGCAGTGTTATATTTATACAGATCATAAAAGTCTAAAATACTTGTTGACTCAAAAAAAGATGAACTTGAGACAGAGAAGATGGATAGAGCTTTTAAAGGATTATGATGTGATCTTTGGCTATCATCCAGGAAAGTCTACTATAGTGGTTGATGCATATAACCGAAAGACTTTTACAGCCTTGAGAGCTTTGGATGCATGTTTGTCTTTAAAGAAAGGCACGCCTTGATTGTCGAGTTAAAGTTGATGCTTTTAGATCGGATAAGAGAATTTCAAAGGAAAGATAAAAATTGCTTGGTAAGAATTACGCAAGTAGAAAATGACGAGATTAAGGACTTTGAGTTCAGTTTCGAAGGATGCTTTACTATTGTGAGAGACTTTGTATTCCTGATGATGAAGAACTAAAGAAATATATTCTTTTCGAGGCATTATAGTCTGTTAACTATGCATTCAGGTGGAAACAAGATGTATCAATATTTAAAGAGTCAGTTTGGTGGCTTGGTTTGAAAAGAGTTATCACGTAGTTTGTTGCAAAATGTCTGACATGTCAAAAAGTGAAAGCCGAGAATCAAGTGCCTTCTGGATTGCTACAAACGATATCCATTCCTGAATGGAAGTGGGAAAGAGTCACTATGGATTTTATTACAGGGCTACCTTTGAAACCCAACAAGAAAGACTCAATATGGGTGATTGTTGATAGATTGACCAAGACAACTCACTTTATTCCTATTCAAACATATTGCTCGATGGATAAATATGTTGAGTTGTACATAAAAGAGATAGTTTAACTACATGGAGTGCATGTATCGATAGTATCTGACAAAGATCCAAGGTTTACTTTGAGATTATGGAATTCTTTGCATGAGACCTTGGGTACTCGATTGAATTTCAGCATGGCTTTTCATCTACAGACAGATAGTCAATCAGAGATGAATATTCAGATATTTGAGGATATGCTAAGGGCATATATGATTGAATTCAAAGGATTATGGGAAAGATATTTTCCTTTAGCAGAATTTTTCTACAATAACAGCTATCAATTGAGTATCAAGATGGCTCCGTATGAAGCCTTATATGGGAGGAAGTGTTGAACACCATTAAATTGGTTCGGGCTAAAAGATTGAGATCGAGTTGCCCTGACTTGATGAAAGAAACGAAAGATAAAGTGGGGATCATTCAAGATAATCTCAAGATAGCTTCTGAACGAAAAAAGCCTTATGCATACCTAAAGAGAAAAGAGATTAAATATCAAGTGGGTGATAAAGTATTTCTCAAGATATCGCCTTAGAAGAAAGTATTGTAGTTTGGATATAAAGGAAAGCTAAGTTCGAGATTTATTGGACCTTGTGAGATTTTGAAAAGATCCAGACCAGTGGCTTATCAGTTAGCATTGCCTCATGAAATGGGCAAATCCATAATATTTTTCGTGTGCCAATTCTCAGGAAATATCGATCAAATCTGTCTCATATTATCATACTGGAGAAAATAGAAATTCGATCAGATTTGACCTATGAAGAGGAACTTATGAGAATTGGCTTGAGAAGTCAAATAACTATAGAACAAGACGATTCCTTTGGTCAAAGTTCTTTGGTGGAATCATAAAGTCGAGTAAGCGACTAGGGAAAAAGAAGAGTACATGAAAAGACAATATACACACCTTTTAACATCATGTACGTACTAAAATTTGCGGATGAATTTTTATTAAAGGGTAGAGTTGTAATATGCTAAATTTTGGTTAGTGACCAAAATATAAGTTTTGAAAGTTTAATGGTCAAAGTATAAAATTGGGAAAAGTTTAGGGACCTAAGAGGTAATTTTCTCAAAAATAATTTTTATTCCATAAATAGATAGTTTACTCTTGAGAGTGAGGTTTTATTGAAATCATATTCTTGATCCAGAATTTATGTTGAAAACTAGAAAGGGTTAAAGTCTGGTAAGAAATCGGTAAATCGGATCAAATAGAAATTTCGAGAAAAATTGAAGGATAGTAAATTAGGATTAAAAAAATATTATTTCTACATGTTAAAATGATGGAAAATAATATGGATCATTGGATTTGAAGATTTATTTCCATGTTTAATTTGGACTGTTGGATCAAAGTGGCAAGATTACAATTTTTGGATAGTTGCTTAGTAAAATTGGAAAAATGGTAAAATAATGTGTTCATCTTTGACTTTTGAAAGATGATAAGGTTAATGTGGCTTGGTTGTATGGTAATTATGAAGTTTCATTAATGGCAACTTGGACATTTTTCATTAAATGAATATTTTATTAATTTAAGCTTAAATAAAAGGTAAATTAACATGAAAATTTCATGTAAGCTTGATAATTTCCAGCAACATTGCCGTGAGTCCCCAACCCAAGATAGTGATCAAATTCGTGATACTAGTAAATCAAAAGGCAAGGAAAAGTTCAAGAGTAGTTGGAATTCGCCAGTAAGACATAATAGTGAGGCATATCAAGTCAGTGCATTTATTATATACTTATATGATATGAGGATGACTTACGATGAGTCAACCTCAAATGTTTTTATAAAACAATGTTTACTGCATTTTGAAATATTTTCATAAATTTTATGAAAATTATTTTTACAAATAAATTTTAAGGTATAAAGTGTCCTAAAATAGATGGATGATTTTTTATATTATTTTAACAACTATCGATATTTCAGAATAAATGTTTAATCTGCGAATTTGATTTAAAGGCATATTGTATGTGCATTGAAAGCCATAGGTGCTTTTAGACATACTTTGTGTGTGATGGTTATCGATCGATTTTGTTTAATGCATATGTTGCATTTTCGTATCAGTATTTTGTGTATTTTCGGCACTATGTATGCATTTATGATATTCATAATGAGTTTGTGAATTACCATTTTGTTATACTAGTATAGTGTTGTTGTCACTACATAATATATGCTTTCATTTAGCATTTATGTGCAACTCATGTACATTGCATTCTCATTTGACATACATTGGGCAATGAATGGATATTTTGGAAAATACTAATTGATAGGTATGTTGGGCATACTAAATATTGTTTCGCAGGTTATTTGAAAGAAACTTGGTTTATCAAGTCAATTTTATGTATTATTATGATTTATACGATTAAAATCATATTTTGATCTTTTATGACATACTTATGTTTTGGTTACGCCTCATTTATATTATTATGCCTAACTAAGTGAATATTTAGCGTGTGATGGTTTCACGCGTAGGTAATCGAGTATAATCGGAGTAAGGAGTGCAGTTAATATCATTTGTCAATGATTGCCTTATGAGTAACAATATGACATTTCTAGATGTTTATTTAGATATTACTAATTGGCATGTAGTTAGATATGTTCTGATAAGATACTTGGTACTTGGTTGTAGTTTTATGTTATATTCGAACTTAAACTACTGTTTGATGGATTTTAAATATTATTATATATTTATGTATTTGAAGAATTTTTTTATAAACTATATTATTAAATCATTTATTTCAAGAAACAAAATTTTACTAGTTTTTAAGTACGAAAAATGTTTTAAAAGTCACGTGACATTTATGACTCGTATACGGAGACGTATACGGGAAATGAGTGTTACAACACAACATGTGGCATATGGGTTATAACCCTCGCTCATTAGTATTCCGTTTTAATTTTAAAATTTTGTTTTCTAACCTTGTAAAGGATTTTGAGACTATCTCGGTTGAAGAAAGCACAATCGGTAAATCATGTTGCGATTTACCTCAAATGTCAAGTCATTGTGTGTGGTCTATCCTGATTGATTTGAACGAAAAATTATGAAAGTCTAATTAAAGAGTTCGAAGATTTAGAGTACTTGGTCGTAGAACTTGAAGAAATTAAAGGACAGTTTAACGAAAATTGTAAAAGAAATGCCCAATTTCTTATCCAATCTCGTTAAATGATTCTCCAATTGAATTCTTATGACTTGAATCAATCCAAATAAATCACACTCAACCACTCAACATTCGAGATAAATCAATAAGTATTAAAATAATGAAAGATCCTCAACCAACAATAAAACATATAAACTTATCTTAACCTCCATTAAAACTTTATAGCGCACCAAAATATTAGTGCTACAAACTAATCCCACTTGTCATTATTTGGAAGGAACAGGTAATAACAACAAGGGCATCTTCAACAGTATTAATCCTCCATAAAAACACAGAGTTAGTCCAACTCTTTTGATCAACAGATTCAGTCGATTACACACATTTTCACATTGGCAGAAGTTTTTGCAGCCTTGTCGTTGTCAGGTTTTGCTAGTCCTTCACATAGCACCGGCGAGCCATGCAACGAAACATTAGCTCTATCCCAACGTCGTCGGATGGAGTCTGGCAAGGCGAGAATCCTCTAAACTACTCCTTCCCATTGCTGATCGTTCAAACAACCTTGGTTCTCTTCACAAGCCGCTTCCTTGCCCTTCTTCTCAAGCCTCTGCACCAGCCCAAAGTCATTGCAGAGATTATTGTACGTTGACAAACAAGATTGCAATCTCTTGTTTTTTCTACTTTGAAATGACTTCTTTTTACTGTTTTTTTCTTTTGCAGGGTGGGATTTTGCTCGGACCGTCAGCTTTAGGCCGCAACAAAGATTTCTTGAACTTAGTTTTCCCTTCATGGAGTATGCCCATACTCGAATCCACCGCAAGTATTGGTCTTCTCTTCTTTCTGTTTCTCGTGGGACTTGAACTTGAACTAAGCACAATCCGTCAAAGCGGTAGGAAGGCTTTGAGCATCGCCGTAGTTGGGATGTCCCTCCCTTTCATATTCGGAGCTGGCCTTTCTTTCTTTCTCCGAAAAGCCGTAAAAGGAGAAGATAGAGTAGGATATGGACAGTACATCATGTTCCTAGGCGTGGCACTTTCCATCACAGCTTTCCCTGTCCTTGCACGCATTCTAGCAGAGCTCAAGCAACTAACAACTCATGTCGGCCAGACTGCCATGGCTGCAGCTGCATTAAACGACGTTGCCGCTTGGGTATTGCTGACATTGGCCATCGCCCTAGCTGGAAATGGCTCAAATGAAGCTCACAAAAGCCCCTTGATATCCATATGGGTTCTACTTTGCGGAGTAGCTTTTGTTGCTTTCATGTTAATCCTCGTACGCCCCCTAATGACCTGGGTTGCTCGACAGAGCTCACCGGAACCCTACGTTATTCATGAAGCCTTTATATGTTTAACCCTGACCGGGGTAATGTTATCCGGTTTCATGACTGACCTTATAGGAATCCATGCAATCTTCGGTGCTTTCATCTTTGGACTAACCATTCCCAAAGGAAGCGAGTTCGGACAAAAATTGATCACAAGGATTGAAGACTTCGTAGCCGGTTTGCTTCTTCCTCTTTACTTCGCCTCTAGTGGATTAAGGACAGACATAGCCAAAATTCAAGGCTTCGAGGCGTGGGGACTTTTAGTGCTTATTATATCCACGGCTTGCGCAGGGAAGATTTTGGGGACATTTTTCACGGCGATGTTGTGTAAGATTCCAGTTAGGGAGTCGTTGGCTCTTGGGGTTTTGATGAATACCAAAGGGTTGGTTGAGCTAATTGTTCTCAACATCGGCAAGGAAAAAAAGGTGCGTATAAACTGATCCTTGCCATTGTGTTTCTTACAGAAAGTTTCTAACCAGCAGGATGCCTTAGTGATCGTTGTTATTGTAGGTTCTCAATGATGAAATGTTTGCAATTTTAGTGTTGATGGCACTTTTTTCAACTTTCTTAACAACTCCAACAGTTATGGCGATATACAAACCTCGGCATCGATCAGAACAAGCATCGCACCCTGCGGAAGACTTGGAAAACGAGTTCCGAATCCTGGCATGTATCCATGGACCTAGCAATGTGCCATCACTCATCCATCTCATGGAGTCGATACATGAGACCAACAGATCCCCACTCAAACTCCATGTGATGCACCTTGTTGAACTTACTGATCGGTCTTCATCTATTTTGATGGTTCAAAGAACCCGAAAGAATGGTCTTCCCTTCATTAGTTGCCTAGGTCGAGGGGCTAAACGCGATCAAATTGCGTCTGCATTTGAGGCAAATGCACAGCTTGGGAGGGTGCACCACTCGACCGCTATTTCAGCATTGTCAACTATGCATGAGGATATTTGCCATGTAGCCAAGGATCGAAGTGTGGAAATGATCATCCTACCTTTCCACAAGCAATGGAATGGGGAGGGTGACGAGGCAATTAAGAGCATCAGTCATAGCTGGAGAGAGGTCAATCAAAGGGTCCTAACAACCGCAACATGCTCAGTTGCATTACTTATCGACAGTAGATTTAACAATCCAGCAGAGCAACCGGCAGAACCCACCACAACAATGCTAAAAAGAGTAGTTATTCTGTTTATTGGTGGACCGGATGATCGTGAAGCTCTGCAGCTCGGTCAGAGAATGACCGGAAAGCAACTAGTTCAGGTGACTCTAGTGAGGTTCCTCCAAGGCCAAAGGGATGGAAATATAAGAGAGAAGGTAAAACACACATAAAATTCTGTTAAAAGAATTTTGAATTGCCTACCACTTTCATTACAGTGCTGAAGAGATGTGGTTTTAGCAGGAACTGGATGAGTTTGCACTAGAGGAGTTCAGACGGTCAGATACATCTGTCCAATACGAAGTGAAGGCCAGCAGCAATGTCATGGAAGAAGTGCTAAGGATTGGACAGAGCAGGGAGTATGATATTCTCATGGTCGGAAAGGGACATCACCCATCTTGCAGGGAAACAACAGGAAACCATACACAGAGTGAGGAACTGGGAGCTATCGGAAGTATTCTAACTTCCGGAGATCGAAGCATCTTCCCATCTATCCTAGTGATTCAACGACCGAAAGAAGCAGCTGAAAATGAGGCAACTGTTTCAGAGATGATATGAGAAAAGGATGTCATTCCTAGATTTGTGATGTAAAATGGGATGAACAAGAGTGAGGCTATGTTGATGTAAAAAGCCACTGTAATATGTCTAGAACTCGAGGTTAAATAAATAATAAGAACATAAAGTTCTAGCAAATCCAAAGCAATTTTGAAGTTTCATTTCATAAATAATGTGTTTCTTTACAACCAATCCTCTTTCCAAATCTAGCCAATTAGCCTTTTCTGTTCACTTTCTCTTTTTACAAATATAAACTACTTTTAAACATGAAAATTACATTAGTAAAATCTTTTGAAACAATATCCCAACTTGGCTTTTGAAGATCTAATCCAGTATTGGTAATTCAGAGGAATAAATAAGAAATTAACCTTACCGAAAGCGTACACCCGACCCGGTGGCGTCATCCGATTTTCCGTTGTGATCAACAGCTCCTTTATCAGATGCACCATTATAGAAATTATCAAATCCATCATCCCAGCCAGTCCAACCATCGTTGCTATAAGTAGTCTCCTTTGTGGTACCTTCCTTCATATTGTCCCAGTCATCCCAAGAACTATAATTCCCAACAGAGGATGATTGTCCACTAGAAGTAGAATTACATCCTCTATTCCCCTGGTTACAGTCCTGATGATATCCATTTTTCTCGCTTTCGATTTGCTGCAAGTTATTGTTGTTCCAGTTCATGCCGTCTTTCGCGTTCTCCTCAACTTTATGTGTAGCTAATAACATGACTCCTCTCATGATCCCCCATGTTCTCTGGCCGATCTCCGACGTCTTTGCGGTGACGACGCTGACGGTTTGGTTAACCTTGGTATCATAGCCACCCTCCTTAACCTGCACAAATGAATCATATTATAACTATAACAGCAACAACTTAGCCAGATAGAAATCGTAACCCCAAAATACCTTGGTGCTTAACTCCATCGTTCCTGCTTGGACAACACTTGCAGCAGATTGGGCAGCCAATGCTGCTACTAAGGATAGCATCCCAATACCCTGCAACACAAACAAATTCAACTAATAATCTATCATCTCATAAAATGAAAGTCACACATTTTAGAAAATGATAAGAACAATGAAATAACTTCTTAACCTGAGAAACAACAGAGAGCACATCACCCTGAGGATCATTATTCCTCTGGGTAGGCATAGGACTGGATCCAAACCCAATGTATTTCCCTCCTTGGGAAGGTGGTAGATCTTCAGGCCTAGATTCATTCTCCGCCATCTTCCTTGCAAAAAAGCTCTCCTTGTTCGCTGCCGAAGCCTTCAGCTCGGATCTCGTGTATATATCCTTTGTGGACCTCGACCTCATGGGAGAACCTCCTGCTTCCCCACCATTATTATTCTCTTCTCTAAAATCAGTCGCCGATTGATTCCTTCTGATATCATTCGAAGATCTAAAAGAATCGTCATTATCCCAATTGTCCCACCCTTCATTATTAGTATGAATATGATTACTGCCCCTGCTCCCACCACCGCTCAACGGCGGTTTTCTACTGCCACAACCTCCGTTGAGAGTCACTTTCACAATGGGTGGATCCTTCCACGGGCGGCCCTCGGAAAGGGCTTGGATACGATCACGATAAATACTGGCGGCATAAGAGTTATATTTGGTAACGATATCGGTTTCTTTAGGGATCCCGTACCGAGCCAAAAAGGCGTTGAGCTTGTCGTTACCACCGTATTCCATCTTCTTGATCTGGATGTCGAACCATGAATCCATGGTAACGGATCGGACGAATGAGATGTGGACACCTAAACCTCGGTGTTTACCGGAGCATTCTAAGCACATGAAAACACCGTAGGAGACCGAAGCCCATTGGGGATTCTTTTGGTTGCAATCGACGCAAGTTCTATTGCCTGGCTGCGATTGGAGGCCGCGTAACCGTCTCGTTGCCGCCATATTTTTGAATCCGATCTGGATCGGATTCGGGTGAAGAAAAAAAAGAATTAGATCGGAAAAAATTCAGAGAAGTGGAGCCTATAAAACAAAATTTAGGGAAAATATCTGAAAAGAAAAACAAATTTAAAAGGATAATGGGAGTCTAAAATTCAATGGGGAAGAAGATCAGCGACACCGTTAAACCATATTTAGGAGAACTGTTGAAATTACGCCATTTTGGGTAAATTTTCAGGTTCTTCTCTTAACACACGTATTGGTGGTTAAAGTGTATGTTCACTTAAGAATCACATTTTAAAATTAAACCCTTTTTCATAATTTTTTTTTGAAAAATATTAATTTTAAGTGTCGTGAGAGTGTTGTAACTTTTTTTCAGATGTAATCGATTCCGAAACTTGACTTTTAATCTAATTTTCATACATCGTCAATTTAAATAGATTTTAAAATCTTCTATAAAAGAATAAATTTATCTGTATTTAATTGTATCAAAGTTAAGTATTTTTTAAAAAATCTTTAAAAGAAATAATAGAAATATTTTTATTTTCAATTGAGTTCACTTAATTTAACTGTTTAAAATTTATATTCATATAAGGAATCAAATTTTAAAACTAAATCCGTGTCCATAAATTTTTGAAAACTGAGTCAACACAATTTTTAGAATTATATTAATTTTAGATGTTGGGATGGTGTTATAACATTTTTCAAATATAATCAACTCAACTTTCTATTGATTTTAAATGCATATATATATATATAGTAAATTGTCATTTTAAATAGATTTTTAAAATCTTTTATAAAAGAATCAAATTTAAAATAATCGAATACTATTTTATATTTTAAAATACGTGTTCCTCAAACCTAAAAAACAATTTCGATATAGACCCAAGGATAATTGCACTCCTCGCCATTAACGGTTGTTAAAGACTTAGTGGATGTTTGTTTACTTCAGAATGATTAAGCGCTGAATGATTCAAATACTGAATGATTCAGAGGCTCTAAATGGTTTGGCTCTGAATGTGACATGTTGTTTGATAACTGGCTCTGAATGATTCAGAATGTACTTCTGTGATTAATCATTCATCACTGTTTTACTGAATCATCAACACTGAATCATTCAGAGGTGCAAAACAAACGCACTGAATGCTGAATAACCCCTTAATTGTGGTTACTAGAATGCTAGTTATGGTCGAATCTAAGCTAGCATGTGGAGCTATCATGGTGTAAGCGACATTCTCCTAGGTTCATGAGTAACCTAAGTGTGCTGGCATCGGGACCAAGTAGATGATACGATGTCTCTCTAGGATGATACTTAGGGACGGTTTGGGGCCAGAGGGCTCCATATCGCGCTCTTGGTTGAGGAGTAGGGTTGCCATCTAGCATTCGCTATGCCTCGCGGGATCTCCTTCCAAATGTACTTGTGAGTTTGGAATTATATTATGGCGCGAGACTAATGTGTGGCTTGTTTGTTCGGACAGGATACTGTGAGATCGACTAATGAACTGAGGGATGATTCTTAGTCAATATGACTTTGCTTCATGACGAGTTATCACATTCAAGTGCCACACGGCTTAACAACAGGTCGAGATGTTATTCCATGACACTTTGGGCTTAGAGTTAGTTGTTCCATCAAAATCCATATTTCAAACTTTTCAAATTGCATATTAAACAAGTTTTTAAAATCGGACTGGACTTTGAACCGGTAAAGGTACTGGTTCACTGGTTCAACCGTAGTTCAACTGGTTTGAACCGGATTTTATATAAAATAATATTTTTTTTAAAATTTTACATAATATTCAAAGCAATATTAATATATATATAATACTTTTTTTAAGTTTACAATATTAAAATATATAAAAATATCACAAGTTATAACATATATAAGTTAAAAACTATAAAATCGAGATGACCATCCTGCTCAGTTGGTAGATCACAAGGTTTTTAACCTTGAGGTCGTGGGATCGAGTCCCACGGAGGGTATTTCATAATTCGAAGTCTTCTACGGAAGCTGCTCTCAATCTGGTGTTGGGGGCAGCCTACTATCTTACCTCCCCTTACCTCCATTACATATGGAAACAAGGGACAGCCAGCCAGCCATTAAAAACTATAAAATCAAGTGAAACAAAATGATTCAAATCAACTATAATATAATATTTAAGATAAAGCATATTAAATAATAAATATAATTATATAATTATAATCAAAAAATAAATTTGGGACTGAAAAAATAATAACAAACGATGTCGTTGGTTTAATTTTTTTTAAAAAACAATCTCACATGGCTAAGAAACATAGAAGATATCCAAAAGTCTAAAGAGTAAAAATATGAGAACAAAACAATCCCACATGGCTAAGAAACATAGAAGATCATCCCAACTGACTCCTATAAATAATAGAGGTAATTTGGCATTCAAAATCATGGAGCCTTTTGGTGAGCACAGAACAAACTATTCTTTCGTTTCAATTGAGCTTGAATTTCAGGCTTCAATCGAGCGTCTAATTTTTTTTGATTTCGAGCATTTTCGAGTTCAAGTTTCAATATTATATTTCGAGTTCGAGTTGAACTTGATTATTTTTAGCTCGTGAGTTTTTGAGTCGAGTTGAGTTTACTTTTAAAGTTTTCGAGTTTGAGTTGAGCTCAACAATACTCAAGTTCGACTCGGCTCGTTTAACAAACGACGTCGTTTGGTTTAATTTTTTTTAAAAGAAAAAAATAGAACTTGCGGTTCACACCGGTTTTACCAGTTTTCATCCGGTTCACACTGATTTTACCGGTTCTCAGCCGGTTCTACCGGTTTTCAACCAGTTCATTGCAAAACTGGTTTTGGAAGTTAACCGGACCGGATAGACCACTGGTTCACGGTTCAACCGGTTGAATCCGTCGGTTAAGTCCGATTTTGATAACCATGATATTAAATCAAGCTTTATTTGATATTTATCCTTCTATATTAATTATTATGGGTAAAGTACAAAAATGATCATCGATTATAGGATATTATTTTATTAAATCCTTTGAATATTGAAAATTGCAAAATCATCCCTCGACTATAGGACGCTATTTTGTTAAGTCCTTCAACTATTAAAAGTTACAATTAGTCACCTGACTATTCATATGTTTCAAACTCATCTTTTTATGTTAAAGATTGACGCATGTATGAGCTGGACGTTTAACTTGTTGATTCAAATATGATAAAATTATATATTAATGATGTCTACTGGCATCGCCGTTGCTTTCAAGCATTGCTCGACGACATGATGTTTCAAGCATTAGCTAGACAACATAATGTAAATAGAGACTTGATCCACAAAATACAACTCAAACAATTATGAGATCAGATTTGTATCATATCCCAATAAAGCAAGTTGAAGTTCAGCTCATAAGACTTTCAATTTTTAACGGAAAATGAAAAATTTGGAACATATGATTATATGAATAGTCAGGTGATTATTTTGTAATATTTAATAGTCGATAGACTCAACAAAACTACATTTTATAATTAAAATAATTTTTGTAATTTTTAATGATTGAAGGACTCAACAAAAATAATTATATATAGTCATGAGACTGTTTGTGTACTTTATCCGATTATTATTTAGATCTACCCACTCAAGGCTAGGACTAGAGCTACTGCCTATTTGAGGGCAAACTCGACCTGGTAACCAATAAAGTTTGAAACTTTTTGCCAAACTCTTAACGGTTCAAGCCGCCACTATATAATCATAAAGAAGACAAAAATAATAATTGGTATTAATAATTTTACATATTTACTAATAATCAGTTAGTCTAATGTGATGAAGCATTAAATTTCTTATGCAATGTCAGAGATTTGAATATTGACGTTTATGAATGAAGAAAATTGAATTGGAAGAATCGTCTTCACCTTTGTAATATCTAATTTGAATTAGTTGATCAAAAGACTAATTATTGTTGATTATACCAAAAATAATCATTCATATTTTAATTAATAAAACAAAATGAATTTATTATGACTATTAAATATTGAGCAGATCATTCTGTTGAAGGTGTCTACAAATATTTATCTGAAATTAATTGGGTCTGCCCAACCAAAAGGATAACCCGACCCTTAAAAGATGTCTACTCTACCAATTATGCCTTCCTTGCTTTATGCATGCAGTTGCTGATCCACCAAGTAGCTGACCAACTTGTCCACTTCTTTGACAAATAAGGAAGAAAGCTTCCCCATGACAGCACCAGCCACCCAGGCTGATGGCCATCCTGTGTTGGGACCACCGGATCCAGTATGGAGCAACACACCATACATTGGACTTAACCAGAATAGATAGAAGGAGACAGTTTAGACGGTATTCTCAAAAAAAAAAAAAATCAAATTATCATATAATTAAGTATTATTTTTATATTTTTATGATAATATATTTGTCTATCTAAACTTTTATAAGTTCGACATTTAAAATTTTATAAATTCGCTCTTAACATAAAATATATCTTTTCTACATAGCGATGTAAAGGAGTCGAGTCGAGTTTGAGTATTATTGAGCTCGGCTCAACTCGAAAATTTAAAATTGAGCTCGACTTGACTCGAAAGCTCATAAGATTAAAATTATCAAGCTCGACTCAACCAGAAAGCTCGCGAGCATAAAGTTCAAGCTCGAAAAAAACTTGAACTCGAAACATGATCAGGCTTACCTCGATTGAAGCTCAAATTCGAGTACAGTTCAAGCTCGAACTCGATTTCAAACCTAAATGTATTTTTGAAAAGAAAACATATAAATGTTAATATCTTAATACTTTAATTTTAAAATTTAAAAATTTCAATATATTGCTTTTTGAATTGCTCGTGAACTTTTCCAATCAGATATCAAATAATTCACTTTACTCGATAATAACTCAAAGCTACAATAATTTGTAAGCCAGATGAAATAAATAATATTAAGGTTTTATTTGAAATTCAGATATAATAAATTCTATATGACTATTTAAAGTCTTTAAATATAATGATAATAGGCGTTCTTCTTGTTGTTATAAGCAACCCATATGTTATCTATAAAACATTAACTTCTCACTGATTTGTCCATCGTCTCTCGAGATGGACTTGGCGTTGCCAACATGTTGATCAGTATGGACCATTTTTTTTTTTTGCGGTTGAGATATCTTTTTTAATTAATCATTAATATCTGATCTATTGATCTACTAATTCAGATCGAGTACTGTAGAAGCGAGAGCGACCCTTTCAACCCAGTTTGCTCCATTCGC